TTTTCGCGTGGCTGGGAGTGGGAGGGGGGAGGGGCGGAGTTGGGGTGGGGCTGGGGGTGGGAAATGGGCGGGCCAGGGCCCCGTGGAGGGTCCTCTTTTTTTATTTGTGAAATATGGTAACCCTATTTGTTCCTAGATGTATGACTTTACATTTGGCCATATTACAATGCATATTGTTTGCTTGTGCCTGGCTTACCAACCAGTCCAGATTGCCCTGTTCTCTTCCTTATTTACTTCTCCTCTAATATTTGTTTCATCTGCAAACTTTATCAGTGATAATTTTGTTTTCTTCACAGTCATCGATTAAAACGTTAAATAGTGTAAGTCCAAGAACTAATCTCTGTCAGACCCCATTAGAAACACACCCACTCAATGACATTTCCCCTTTTACAATTACATTTTGAGTCCTATCAGTCAGACAGTTTTTAATCCATACAGTGTATGCCATTTTGATTTTTTATCATTCTAGTTTCTTCATTAAAATGTGTGACGCCAAATCAAACTCCTTACAGAAGTCTAAGTATATTACATCATCATTATTATTTTTATCAACCAAACTCGTAATCTTATCAAAAAAGATATCAAGTTAGTTTGACAAGATGTATTTTCCATAAACCCATGTTGATTGGCATTAATTATATTACCCCCCCTTAATTCTTTATTAATCAAGTCGTGTATCAGCTGTTCCATTATTTTGCTTGGGATTGATGTCAAGCTGACAAGCCCATTATTACCCAAGTTGTCCTGTTTACACTGTTTAAATATTGGCACATCAGCATTCTTCCTGTCCTCTGGAACTTCTTCAGTGTTTCAAGACTTATTGAAAATCAACATTAATGGTCCAGAGAACTCCTAGGCCAACTATTTTAAAATTCTTGGATGCAAGTTATCTAGACCTACTGATTTTAAAAATGTCTAGCTTTAGTAGCTGCTCTTTAACATCTTCCTTGGTTATTGTTAGAATGGAAAGTATTTAATCTTCATCATCAATCATCATCACCATCATGATAAGATATGAATATATCATCTGTTTTTCCCTACATACAGAACAGAAATATTTATTGAACACTTCTACCTTTTTGGCTTTATTATTAACAGTTCTACTATTTCCATCTAGTAATGGACCAATACCATTGTTAGGATTCCTTTGTTCTTAATATACTTAAAAATCTCCTTCTTATTGTCCTGATCATAGTATTTGCCTTGTGGCCTTTAGCTTCCCTTATCAATTTTTTTACAATTCCTAGCTTCTGATTTGTATAAATTACTATCAGCGTCCCCTTCTATGTATTTGAATGACTTGTGGTCCCAGGGTCCCATTTGTTGGGACTGGGCATAGATCCCATGTCCTCATGGAATCAGGGCTGTGTGGACTAGCAAAACCAGTATCCCAGCTCTACAGCAGCTTTTTTGTTCTTCTAACAAAAATTTATGCTTTTCCTGTTGTGTTGCCCTGTTGAATGATGTAATTGAGTCCCATTTCTTTTGATCTTTTCCATAATTCCTCTTAATCAGGCAAATTAACAGGGAGGAAGGATGTGTTTATGGCTAAAGCATCATTGTCAGGAGATCTGTGTTCTATGACCTTGGGCAAGTTACCCTTTCTCTTACTCAGTTTCCCTGTCTCTAAAGCTGATAATGACGCTCACGTTATGGGTCCATGAGGTGGAAGGCACTAAAGAATGGGACATCATTACTATGATTAAATGAGTAGAGGATAGGTGAAACTAGTTATTTATGGCCACATGTTCAAAGACATCAGAAGACCTGGTGAGATACGTGAGGATTGAGATCTCATAAGGGCAACCTGGAGGTCCAGGTAAGCAGTCAGGAGTGGGATATTCCATTACAAGATAGGAGTCTCATTCTCAAATTGGGAGGATTTCTGTGTGTTCTGAACTCAGCATCCTGACACATTCTGGTATGACAGTGTTTTGTCTCTTACAGATTATTTACACAGGAAAAATACTGGGTCACTGGTGGCCCAGATCCTATGCTCTGGCAAAGCAACACTTAACACAGGTCCCAAGGAGTTGGAACCAAAGTGGCATCAAGCCACCTTTCTGTCCCTCAGCCCTGGAAGAGACTTAGGCCAGTTTTCCCTCTAGTGCAATTTAGAGCAGCCTCAGGGTTGCTCTGTTATGTGACTGGTAGCAGCCTCCCAGGGTACTGTGCCAGCCCAGGAACACCAAAGAGCAGGGCAGTCTGGCCATGCCCTCTCCTATCTACAGTCCTCACCACTTGCCAGGATGGGGCCAAGAGTGGTTGACTTAAAGCCAGCTCTATGAGCTTCACACCACTTTGGGAATCCACTATGCAAGCCAAATCCTAAACTGGTGAGTTAAACTGTGATTCCATCCAGTCTGGGCTGCCAGACTGGCAAAAATAGGATTGAGCAGGGCTGAGAATATGGCCTTTTTGTGTGCTACTTTATAATGTAGAAAGGGGATCTGGGAGTTTGTTTTGTTTTTAAACCCTGTTCTTGTGTTTGTTTTTACATTAGAAATATCAGGAAAGTTGTTTTATTTTGCCAAAGTACTCCTTGGAGGTCAAAAGTGTTGTGAATCTTCCACAGAAGAGTTTTTCTCATAAGTGTTTGCCTGGAGTTAAATAATTTTACACACACATACACACTTCAAACAATTTGACTAAAAATCCTTGCCCCCTCACATAGTTTGAGTTTCACTGTCCTTTCACTTGTGATGTTCTACCTCTGCTAGTTCTCTAGTTGTCCATAGAATCTTTGAGGAAAAACAGTGCATGAATTTCTAAGGTGAAAGAAAAGCTGAGTCGTTCCCCATTTAAACAAAAGCTAATCAAACAAAACAACCCTTTCAGTCATAGAATCATAGGGTTAGAAGAAACCACAAGGGTCATCTAGTCTAACCTCAAGTCCTTCCATGTAGCTCACAAAGAAGTAAAAATGGTCATAAATAGTTGTATTTGCCTTTTGAAGTGGAAGCAAGTGTCACTTTTGTGTCATAAAATTGGTGCATAAAATGTGTTTTTAGCAGGTTTACAGAGAGTTGACATTAGAAATAAGGTTTTGGTCTCCACTGTCATATATCCCAATGACACACAGCCAGTCTACAGAAATGACAGCATGGAGGTTGTAACACAATCATCAAATTCAAGGTTTAGCGATGGCATCATCTAAGGATATATTTTATCTGTAAACTTTTAACAAATAAATTGCATTCCTCTTTTGGATATTAATTCATTAATATTTGTAAAGAACTTTGAAGGTGCAGAGTATTATAATTAGGAATAGTGTAAGGAAGTGGCCAACATTTATGTGTCACTACTGCCCTCTACTGGATGGAATCAGAACTACTTGATAGTTTTTAAGGGCCTATGACACTATCTTCCATCAAGTGTCTCTTTTAGCTCAAGAGATAGGGGGTTGTTCTCTTGGAGCAGGAGGATCTGAGCTGTATCTCGAATGCCATTATGAAGCTCCGAGGGGGTACTGCGTGAAGCCTAGCGAAAGCTGTGAAGTCCTAAGTGGGTACAGATTTCTCCTTTTTTTAATTATTCCTGGTTTATCTACTTTAGAATTTTATCAACCCGCCCCTCCTACTGTTATCCTTTTATGTTTGTTGCAGATTGATCTCCCTGATACCATAAGCAAACGTGGCTTTCCTCTGTTTCCTCTGTTATGTCTGTCTGGTTCTGGAAATAGGGGTCTCTAGTTTACTTGAGCTCCCCCTCTGGCTGGATGTCAGCCTCTGGGATAGCAGAACAAATCTGTTGTAAGGTTTTGTGACTGACCGAGTGTTTTAAGATTTCTCGGTGAGAGAAAAGTTAGGGCTAGTTTTGTTTGTTTGCTTTTGTGGGAGGAGCTTATGGCTCTTCAGGATCCACGGTACACTCACCAATATTTCCTAGCAACTGTAATGTACATGAAATTTTAGCACTCCCACTCCAATGTTTAACTGACCTTACTAAAGAAACAGCAGTGGTGGCACAGATTTTCATACAGAGCTTGTGTATGTGAATACTAAGGGTACACCCTGTCGTGTGTTTTATAGTGGGGTCTATATAAATGAAGCATCATGGTTCCAGCCACAGATTGTATATTATGTACTAGATCCTCAATGGCAGCATATCTGTGGTGGGATTGTGGTGCTCCCTGACCTCCAGTAAATGTTCTCTTCTGCTGTTCTGATCCATGGTATTTATAGCGCACAAATTGTTGTTTCCAGGCACCATCCTAGTTCTGTCCTCCCTCTCTGTCACCATGTAAGATTCTCCCAAGGTCTCATCCCCACTCCCCAAAGCATTTTTGAGTGCTTCTGTCCCATGCCTGGTAGGGATTGGGAGGCATTTATATTGGTTGCAGAATTGATGTATGGTGTATATCTTTGTCTCGGACAGGTTGTTTATAAGAATAACGACATCCGTCTGGAGCTGTCTCGCTTGGCAAGGATCAGTGACACCAAGATGAAGATCTACGGGGAGGTGAAATTCACATGTGAGAATGTGGCCACGCTGGATCCCATCAGCTTTGAGACGCCAGAGGCCTATATCAGTCTGCCTAAGTGGAATACCAAGCGGATGGGCTCCATTTCCTTCGACTTCCGCACCACTGAGCCCAATGGCCTGATCCTCTTTACCCATGGCAAGCCCCAGGAGAGGAAGGATGCCAGGAGCCAAAAGAACACCAAGGTAGACTTCTTTGCAGTTGAGCTGCTAGATGGGAACCTCTACTTGCTGCTTGATATGGGTTCCGGCACCATCAAGGTGAAAGCCACCCAGAAGAAAGCCAATGATGGAGAATGGTATCATGTGGATATCCAGCGAGATGGCAGATCAGGTAGGAGGATAAAATATTAAATAGGTTCATCTCTCCTCTGGTGGGGGAGCATAAAATCCTGGTCCTTTAAAATTCTTACTCCTAGAAGGGAGTAGCTTTCTTGCAAGAACTCATGTTACTTAAAGAAATTCACCTAGCAGAATAGGAGGCATTTCAGAGGGCCAGCAGTGTATGAAGTGTTCAACGTGAGCTTTAGAATAGCTCCACAGAAGAAGCCTTTATAAGCAGCCCTTCAGCATCTTACTCTTTAACTCTATTTAATCTGCACATAGTTCAGTAATCACGTACATCATCACAGTGGTCACTTTTGGTGGGCCAAGCCTTGAGGTCAAGTGCGTAATGAATTTTATTACTTGTTTTTTATTCCAACTAACTCCCATTTACTTCACTGGGAATAAGTGCTGAGTAGAAACTGAGTAAGAACTTCAGGATCTGATCCAATATTATCACCCTCTCCTGAGTCTTTGTAGGGCCTGGGGAGACTAGGTAACACAATTAACATGGAGAAACTTCCAAACTAGTGGAAAATTTGTTGGGACAAGTGAGAGAGAGGTGTTGGCCAATCACTGCCCTATTCTCTTGTTTCCTTTGATGCTCTTGCAGATCACTGTTTGAATAAGGATTCTTCCTTTATTCCTAGCTAGGCTTTCCCTTTCCAAAGTGTTTCTTAGAGTGAAAGTCCTTCTCTTAGTCTTTCTATATCTGGCTGAGTCCTCTTTGCTGCTTCTCACTTTTAGAATTTCAACTAACAGAATATATTTTTTAATATTATGCCTGTCACCATATTATATAGGCTCCAAAGGTATTTTCTTTGTTTCTGATGTTGTAGAGCAAGCTAACATATATTCATGGTTGTGCTCCAAAATAAATTAGGAAGTGAAATAATCATATCTACAATTTGATCCTTGTGAATATGTGAACAGTTGGGCTTGAACTTCTCCTAGATCATCAGGAGTTGAATGTCTGGCCATATGTTGCTGTAAAGGGAATTTTGCCTACATTTGCAGTTAGGTCTGAGATCTCCATAATATAAATGTCCTAGATTTGTGCTTCTTGGGACTTGCAACAGAGTGTTTTCAGCAGAGGGAATATGCTTCCCCTGATTTTTCAAAAGAGCTGACTTTTAGGGACCACTGCACAACCTCTCTCTTTATGCAGGCCTTTGTCTGAAGAGCTGGTCGTTTCTGTGATAGTTTAAAGGAGTTTCTTTGTGTTTGACATTGAGCCCATCTAGGTTGTAATGTATGTAATTTGATTCCATTAGCACCTAGCGACATCGACAGGAGCATTTTACAAATGAAGACGTAAATAAATAAATGATTTCTGTAGATTTGCTAGAATCTAATTAACTTGCAAGGATAAACTCAATTAGTAGCATTCATTACTGCCTACAGTTTTGCTTGCTTGCATGGAGCATACCTGGTCCTTGGACAAAGAACTCCCGAGTAAGAAGAAAAAGATGAAAAGGAAAGTCCTGGCTGAAACAGCTTGTTAAAACCCAACTTGAGAGGGGCACATTTTGGTGCATTATGATAGCTGAGATTGACATTACCCCTAGGAGAAGTCACCTGAGCTCCCCAGGGAGGCAGATTGCAGGACTGACCTGTTTATTGCTCAGCAGAAAGGTTTATTGATTGCCTGAAACCTGATCAGAGATAACAGACTTCAAATTAAATGTGTTTTGTTGAACAACAGTGAACAGATTTGTTCTTTTCTTTTTTTAACTGAATTTTGTGCTGGTGAAAAGTGCTGGATTGAGAGCCCTACCCTCTGATGTCCTTTCTGAAAAGGTAATAGGAGCACCAGCACTGAGAGTTCCCCCAGGTCACCCTTTAGTGTGCATTGACCCATTGAGGCCCTCGGAGGCCTCTGCTAGGGATGAGAAGGGAATTCAGTCTCCATGGTGTGTTCAGTCCCCGGCTTTTCTGCTGATTGCCAGCAAGGATTCCAGCTAGGTCCTGTGCTTTCTGTGACGTGGACATCTGCCTGTTAGAAACTGGACTGAGAAACAACAGACTCATTTCACATAGGTCATCCAATAACCGTTAGACTTTAATAACTGAAAACTGGGCTAGATTTGATCTGGGCTAGATTTGAGCCATTGAACTGGACATTCTGTGTATCATGCATAAGGTACCCTGTCCTCATTAGAGTCTTTCCTTTCTTCCAGTTCTCCCAAGGAGTTAAAAGCTTTGAGCTCTACTGAGCTAAGCAGAATCACCTGTAAAGGTCCAAGTTCTTCCTACCACTAGGTACTAGAGTAGGAAAGGGGCTGCTGGGAAGCAGGGCAGTTATCCTGCTCACATAACCTCTGGCATCTCCAGTCCCCTTTGACTCTGCGTGTGCTTCAGTCGGTGCTGACTGCCAACGCAACCAAAACTATATCTTCACTGTACGCTGACAAGAGCTGACAGCTTGGACTTGGACTCCTAGCATCCGCTCCCATATCTTGTAACCTTTCTATCCCCAGGGCAGTCTCCTACCGGTAATGTCCATGAAATCTGTCACCATTTCTAGCTGGGAAATGCTGCACATCATTACAAGAGAACATTTTCGGCCAATTCTGAGCTACAGAGCACATGTTATCCCACCCCTGCTGACTCTGAAAGCCTTACTGGCAGACTGGATGTCTGGTCGCATCAGTGTACTGTTTCCCATACTGGCTCTGCCTTCACTGGTTGCTGCCTTTTTGGGCCCTCCCACTCGCTTACCCAGGCCCCCAGTTGAGGCCTTTGAGGGGTTAGAAATGAGGCAGAAGAGCCCTTCTGATTTTTGAGGTAGAGGTTTGTTCTGTCTTTCCAGAATCGTAGATGTTAGAGATGGAAAAGATCTACTAGCTCATCTGGTCCCTTCTCCCTAGGGCCAGTGCTGGATTGGTCCCTCCAGTGGCTTTCCCAGTCTGGTCTTAAAAGTTCCATGTAAGGGGTCTTCTGTCACTTTCATGTTCTAGAGCCTAATGCATCTCACAGTCAAGAAGCTTAGCCTATTACTCAGCCTAGATACATACTTCCTTTCTTAATTTCATCCTCTTCTTCCTTGCTTTACACCTTTAGCCTTGGTATTTCCTCTCCTTCCTTGGTGTTTTCACCTTTTCAGTATTTGCAAACTGGGTTATGTCTCCCCCTCTATGGCTGAGTGGCCAAGCGAGAGAGGTTTCATCTGATCTTTTAACCTTTCCCCATAAGTCAGACTCTCCAGCGCCTTGATCATTTCTGTTATCCTTCTCTTGACTCTCTCCATCTTTTTGGTAATACAGTATACTGTCCACAACATGAACACAACCTTCCAAGTACAGTGGCAGCAGAGCCAGATGGAGAGGGACTGTGACCTTGCTGCTCTGTGATATGCTGCCTTTGCATATATAGCCATATAAGGGGGAAATGTCTGTGGTGCTGCAATTTACTTACACAACATGGTTCATCAAACAACCCTAGTTCTCTCTGAGCCTTTAATTTGTAACGCCTCTATTGCCTCAAACACTCTGCTGCCTCTGACATTATCCCTAAGTTATACAGAACATCACACACATGAAATGCCCTGTTTGCGTTCTGCTCTCTGTTCAAGAAGATGCGTATTACAGCTTAAGGGGTGGAAAGACATACGTATGTGACTGCATTTTCTCGCAGAAAACTCTATTAACCAAACTACCCTGCCCCCTTCTAGGGGTGTAGGATAAAGAATGCAGTGATCTGGAATTAATCTTAAAGCATAAACAGTCCCTTCTGGGGACATAGAGTATCGTAATGACAGGGCAATCACACGTGATGATTTAGAGCTAGATGGAACAAGTTTCTGATTCTTAGTTCAAAGCGGATTGGTGTCCCTATCTCAAAAATAACTGAAGTCCTGAATGAGGAGCAGTGTGGTCTAGTAGACTGCACTGCACTGGCCTGTCAGAGACCTGGGTTCTGCTTTTATCTCTGCCACTGACCCATTGGATGACCTTGTGTTAGTCTCTACACTTCTCTGTTTTCCCCTTCCACCCTTTGTCTGCTTGATTGTAAACTCTTCATGGCAGGCACTGCCTCTTAAAATATGTATGTACAGAGCCTTGCACAATGGGGCTCTCATCTTGCTTGAAGCCTAGAAGCAACTATAATACAAATAATAAGAACTCTCCCTTTTGGAGTTCACCTTCACCTCTCTGTGTCTCCATTTTCCCATCTGCGAAATGGGGACAATGGTACCTTCTTTGTAAAATGCGTTGAGGTCTGTTGCTGAATAGCATCATGTAAGAGCTATGTATTAGTAGTAGTAGTATTTACTTTAATCCTATATAGTCCCAGAGCTTTCTAATTCCAGCTGCACTTTATGTGATTTCCTGTCTTGCAGAGTGAATCCCATTGAATAACACTGAAATCCTGGGTTTTTGCTCTTTTTTTAAAAAAAGAAAGACCCTCTCTTCCTGCAAGACAGGAGGAGAATTAAGACCGTGTTATTGAATATGTGTATTATTGTAGCACCTAGAATCCCTAATCAGATTGGGACCACATTGTGCTCTGTGCTGTAGAGGCACACATGAACACACAGTCCCTGCCTTGAAGAGTTTAGAGCCTGTGGCTGGGGGGGAAGAGGTGGGGAGGGGCAGCATAGGACAAACTTTCTCTGTCTGTGTTGTGTTTTACTGGGGATCTTCAATCTCCTCAACTGAAACCGTCATCTTTAACCTGCATTCAAATACCATAGGAACTGCACTAGACCTGGGCTGTCAGTGGAGCTGTTGGCTGATGTTTCCTTTTCCTTCTTGCCCCAGGTACCATATCAGTGAACAGCAGGCGCACCCCATTCACTGCCAGTGGGGAGAGTGAAATCTTGGACTTGGAAGGGGACATGTACCTAGGTGGGCTACCTGAGAACCGGGCAGGCCTCATCCTCCCCACAGAGCTCTGGACGGCCATGCTGAACTATGGTTATGTAGGCTGCATCCGGGATCTGTTCATCGATGGACGGAGCAAGAACATCCGGCAGCTGGCGGAGGTGCAGAACGCTGCCGGGGTCAAATCCTCCTGCACCCGGCTCAGCACCAAACAGTGCGACAGTTACCCATGTAAGAACAATGCTCTCTGCAAGGATGGCTGGAACCGCTTCATCTGCGACTGCACTGGCACTGGCTACTGGGGCAAAACATGTGAGCGGGGTAAGTCAAGTGTGCTTTGAGATCATGCTTACCAAACTGGGCGTGTGTAGGAGCTCAGCAGGGACAAGACTGTGCTACTCCTGGATTTAAAGTTGGGTTATTCCGATGGTGCCCCCAAGCTCCAAGGACTCTTCTCCTCGCTTTGATGGCTCAGTGGGATCTGAGTCTCTCCCACCCAATGGTCCTCACCAACTTGAGTACAAAGGAAACTCCATTCCCATTTAATAGTGCCAATCCCTACCCAAATTACCAGGAAGCCTTCCTTCTAAGATGGTTCCCCCTCACCCTCTGCCCAAAGGACCAGTTAATCTTACTGTCATCTGAGCTGATGATACCCTGAGGAGTGGGGATCCTTCTTCTCAGTTCTGAGGTCTCTTTTCCCCAGTTCAGTGTCTCTCCCTCTCAGAGTTCTGTCTTTCATCTGTTGGGGCACAAAATGTGGCTGTGTGTGATGAGTTCCAGGTGGTTTGTTGGTAGCAGTCCCAGGTGCAGGCTGGGGTCTGCTGATCCTTTTGCTTTAGCACAGGCTTGGTTGAAAGACAAGGTATCCCTGTCTGTCTCTCTCTCCTTCGTCAGCCTGCACTGATGGCTGAGTTGCTGGTAGAGCCACCCAATGGAGTACTGTAGTGCTGTATTAATTTAGATGGAATAAATGGACCCAGAGAGTTAAAGGTGTTAACATGACTCAGTCACTGTCCAACATTAAGCAATGTTAAACAAGCCTCAAGGTTTGGTATACAGAGACCTCAACCTGCTTTGTACCATGGCAAACACACCATTAAACATCTGTTTAACCTTTTATTAAAGATATACAAAGAAGAGGGGAAAGGATTAAAGTATTTGACATGTAAAGTATCCCTTGTTCCCTTTCACTTTAACTGTAGAGAGTTTTTAGAAGGAAACACCACTTATTTGACAGTCTCTTTGATGGTAATAACTGTTCTTTTGGGGGGAAAGAGAAAAAGATAGTTGAGATGGACTGTTGTTATTACTGTTGTAGGTAAAGTCTGAACCCATTTCTTCAAAGACAAAACAAGACAAACACACACAAGAGGGAAGAAAAAACCTGGCAAAGATAGAAAATGTAGTTTCTGTCACTGGTGTTGACTCTCACTTGTAGCCTCCTGCTGGAAAAACACTGGCCCAGCACATGGTCTTATTAGCCACCCCGAGACCTGGCAAACGTGTAGCACTGTCGGACTGTTTAGGACAGTGCATTTAGCTGCCTCTTTCTGGTCACAGGCTTACAGCAGTGATGCAGAAAATACAGTCTTGGCTGGCCAAGCCAGACTCTAATTAGACAGAATGCAAAAGAAAAGGGATAGGAAAGAGAAGAAATATGGTAGTGAAGGGAAAGGACACAGGACAGAGGTGGGAGAGAAAAAGTCTCTCATCCCAGGTGGTGGTTGAGATTCAGCTGAAGCTGGTGGAGGTAGCAATGTCATCTGGGTACCTTTCTCTGGTCTGGTCTGGTCAGGACATCTCTCAGGATTAGATGAAGTAAGTCTGGACTCCCAGGAGATGGTGAGGGTGGCGGCCATGATAGTGAAGCTTCTCCTTCCCCTTCTCTGATCTTCCTGTGAGCCAGCATTGTGCTTGCTTCCATCCCTCCACCAATTTCCATTTTAAAGTCTCTCTGATGTTAAGGACCCCAAAAAGGAGTAAGGGGGAAATAGCTCATTCCCTCATTATTTTGTCCACTGACTTAGACCTAATTTTTGATACACCAATTTTGGTTGATTGATTTCTGGTCCCTCATTTTTCTTGTTTACTAGACATGATCTCAACACAGTCCTTGAATTGTATCAGTAGGCCTTTTTGTTTGGACTAATTCAGCCCTGCCTCCCTGTTGCACCTTTTCCTATCAACATTTATTGTCATAGGTTATTGAGACACTTAATAAACTTTCTTACAGTTCTGCAGGTGACCTCACAATTAGGGTAAATTTTTAGGCCCAGTTATCACAACACTAGTGTATAGACCATGAAAGTTTATGCCCAAATACATTTGTTAGTCTCCAAGGTGCCACAAGTACTCCTCGTTCTTTTTGCTGATACAGACTAACATGGCTACCACTCTGAAACTGGTGACAAGGTGCCTCCAAACTCACCTGTGCCAAGGGCAAATCTGTAGGAGAGAGTCAGTAATTTCTCAAGTACAACGAATGTCACTGCACCTTCTTCTCATTGTTGCTAGTTCTGTCTGATCATTTTAAGGCGTCTGATTGGGGATATATGAGGCACAATTATTGCCAGTGCAGGCAGCCAAGAGACATCCATTCTAGGCCAAATGAGACAGAGCTTAGCAAATAAAAGACATTTGATCTATACACTGTTCAAATCCCAGACGGTTCCATTAATTGTTTTTGCCCCTGTATTGTGCCCGGTGCCGTGCTCAGAATAAGCTGGCCGAGTGAAAAAAAAATTGATGGCAGTAGGCCCACTTAACAAAGAAAATGGAACTTCCCTTTGGTGATGTTACTTTTTATTGAGATCAATTTCTCAGTAATATTTGGCTATTAGGACTGGAGTGTGGCTGAAATGCACTTGCTGAGACACAGCAATGGATTGTTGGCAGAATCGTAGGGCTTTCGTCCGTTTTTGCCCTCCTGGTCTCCCCCACTTCGTAGCACAGTCTAGTGATTGGACCACATGTCTGGGGATCAGGACTTTGGGTTCTGTTCCCAGCACAATCATGGATGTCCTGTGTGACCTTGGGAAAGTCACTCCCCTCGCTGTGCCTTAATTTTCCTATCTTTATTGGAGATAATAATACTGAATCACCTGCAGTGCAGGTTGTGGGGATGAATTAGATACTGTGTGTAAAGCACTGTACAGTCCTGCGGCTTTGCAATTCACCTCTGCAAGAGGGGAAGGATTTTTTTTAACAGGAACTCACTGTAGATCAGGGATCTCAAACTCAAATCACCATGAGAGCCACATAAGGACTAGTACATTGGCCCGAGGGCCGCATCATTGACACCTTTTCATACAAAGATACTAAAGCGCCCCGCCCTGCCCCAGCCCCGCCCCCATTCCACCCCTTCTATGAGGCCCCGCCCCACCATGCCTCTTCCCACCCCTTCCCCGCCCCCATTCCAACCCCTTCCCCCAAAGTCCCCGCCCCTGCCCCGACTTTTCTCCGCCTCCTCCCCTGAGCACGCAGCTCCTCGCTCCTCCCCCTCCCTCCTGGAAAACGCTAAGCACTGCCAAACAGCTGTTTGGCAGCGGGAAGTGCCTGGAGGTAGGCAGAGGAGCAGGGATGCAGCGCGCTGGGGAGGAAGGGGGGCAGGGAGTGAGGGGAGCTTGGCAGCCACAGGAAATAACTCCGGGGGAAGGCGGGGGGAGCTTGGTGGCTGCAGGAAATAACTCCGGGGGGACAGGGAGCTTGGCGGGCCACAGCAAATAACTCCATGGGACGCATGCGTGTTTGAGACCCCTGCTGTAGATCAATAGAATTCTCCCTGCAGGGCAGTTGGGATTTTTAGGCTTTAGACATGCAAGATTTATTCTTAATGGTACAGCTTCCAAGGCCAGCACTACACAGTTTGGTGCCCAGTCTCACCCTGGCTACTGCTGGTGTTCCTAGTGCTGCATGTGTGCCCTTAAAGGAACAGGTGTCTCAAAGTCACCCTGTTTGGCTGGACCCCTAAAAATTCAGCACCCTAGGCAGTCATGTATATCATCTATGCGTAATGTCTGTCCTGAAGCGTAATGTCTATGCGTAATGTCTGTCCCCCATACACTTTACCAGGTTAGATGACTGCAGAAGTGGGTTTTCTGAACAGGGGTTTGAGAATTCTCCTGACCCACCTACTTCCGAGTGCATGCTGCCATTTTGAGTGGTGCTGCATCAGGGAAGCACCACACCATAAATTCATTGCTTCCTTGTTGTGGTAGGATCAAACTCTGACTTTCTGCTTGTCCTTACTTTTTATTTGTGGCAATGTGTTATACCCTGGAGTGATCAACACTGTGACAAAACTCGCAGGACATTCCTGATTCCCACAAGTCCCTGTCATCAGCTTGCAGGAGTCAGAATCCAGAGCTACTTGTAGGCATCAAATCTATAGTTGGGTGAAATGTGTGTAATGACATCCAGAGCCAGGCAAATTTGGGCCAGCGTCAGAGTGGTCTGAGAGGATAAATGAATGAATGCATGTGTAGTGCTGTGGAAACATGAAGTTCTCAGTAATATTGTTGATTGTATCTCCTAGAGGCTCTTAAGGGTGAGCGTGGGGCTGGGGATAAGTTGCAGTAATGTTAGCTGCGGGGGACCAGAAGTCTGGAAATGCAGTAATGGTATAAATGGAAACAGTGCAGGCCATGTTGGTTTCAACCCCAAATCAGACAGAAGTTGTCTGTTTCAACTGAGTTTTACTTTGCAGCTCAAGGTGAAGCTCAAGGGAAGGGATCGCACAGGGACTGGAACTGAAAAACTGTTCACACAACAAAGCCCTGCAGGCTGAATCATGTTGTGATGACTCCACGTTATCTGTATCATGAGGTCACATCACAGCTTCATCACAGACTGACACAACTGTTTGATCTCAGGACGTAGCATAAAAGTAGTTACACTAAATAATTGTGATGGACCTTTTGAAAAGGGGGAGGGATAGCTCAGTGGTTTGAGCATTGGCCTGCTGACTCCAGGGTTGTCAGTTCAATCTTTGAGGGGGCCTCTTAGGGATCTGGGGCAAAATCAGTACTTGGTCCTGCTAGTGAAGGCAGGGGGCTGGACTCGATGACCTTTCAAGGTCTCTTCCAGTTCTAGGAGATAGGATATCTCCATTTATTTATTTATTTATTTATTTATCATGACGCAATGATTTTGCCTGCATGACAAACAGAAATAGAACTGCCAATACATGACTAACTTTTATGCCCTGACACCCAAAGGTGACTGTAAATCCAGCTGTCAGTTGGCCTGTGGCTCAGGCACCATGGAGAGCAATGTTGCTACCCTCCCTACTGAGCACAGGAACTGGGGAGCTGCCTCAG